CTACAACGATCTTAAAAATATCTTACTTCTTTGAGATGTCGAGGAGGTGTGTTGGTATTGGAATGAGAGAGAGAGGAGAACAGGCGGCCCACAGAAGGCAGAGCGGGCGCCCCGCGCCCTCGGGGTCGCCTAGGGAGGGAGGGAGGGAGAGAGAGAGCGAGAGAGAGAGAGAGAGAGAGAGAGAGAGTTTGTTGTGTTGTGTGTGCAGGACGTGCCAGGTCAGGGGACAGGGCTCGCACAGGGCTCGCACCTCAACCTCTCATAGATAGACCCAGCGCGCAGCCAGCGCGCAGCGCCATGGAAGGTGTTTTCTCATGAGCAAAATAACAAGGTCTGTGAAGCAGCAGACAGAAAACTACTCGCCCGAAGACGACCCCACGCAGCGTCGCCGCGGAAGGGGAAGACGGCAGAAAGATAAAGAAAAATCACGGAGTGCTGCAAAACAAGAAAGGAGAAGGTCGATCAACAACGGGTGGTCCGCCTGCTTAGGGTACCCCTAGGCTTAAAATGGTGAGCCCTTGGGGGTCTGCGGCTTAAACGGCCTAAAATCGTGCCGAGGCAGGTTTTAGAGGATAGAGCTGTCTGAGACACCGATTCCTTAAACGCAAAACGGTCTTAAAAGAGCCCCCCCCCCCCCCCCCCGTGGCTGGGCAACAGTCTCTTAAACGCCTAGCCCCCAAACCTCCTCATTTCTTAAAAGGCGTTAAAACGATCCGGGCCTCAGAATCCTAGGCGCTAGGGGTACCGTTTAAAGCGGTTATGGTCCGCCGCAATGCAAGGTCTCGCCACACTCCACTGCAGGTGTGTGGAGACTGGAGTGTGGACCTCCCCGTACCCCCCGACCCTGTGCCCGTTCAAAATCTTAATCACGCACGCGTGGGTGATGAGTCTCGCCAGAGACCAAAATTCGAAACAGGTCTCAATCTCCAATCAAAAGATGCCAGCAAGCGCGGCGCGCGCGCGCGCGCGCGCGGCGCACCCTCCCCCCAAGTCTCTGAGAGACTTTGTACGCGCGGACGACTAATGCAGCCTCCACTTGTGGCTTATGAGCCCCCGGTGGCAATGTGGATGTACAGGTACAGCCTGCGACGGCACACACGGGATGGCGACGGCTGGGCATCAACACCGCGGTCCGCGATCGACCAGCGCGGTCTATTAAGTGGGGGGAGGAGGTCTATCCAAGTTAGGAGATGTTGCAGAGGGTGAGCAGGATGTGGGTGGCAAATTTAGAGCATACGCGCACCAGAGCGTGATCGAGAATGGCGCGAACGCGTACTGCACAAAGATGGCCGCGGCTAGTGCCTCACGGCTCTCGCCGGCCAGCTCCGCCATCACCTGTGGTGTGTGTGTGGCAGTGGGGTGCGGTGTTGGCGGCTGCGTTCACAGCAGCATGCGAACCGGGCTGACAGGAGAGGTGGTGTGTCTGCACGGCCCTCTCTCTGTGCGCGAGAGCCGCACCATGACGTTGTTCGCAGTCGGCGTGCAGGTGACGATCATCGCCACGAGCACAGCGGCCGGTTGGCGGACGAGACCCGACGAACGGAGGGCGATGCCGGTGGCGGCGCCAAACGCGGGCATCACCACCATCTTGGCAGCGGTGAGGGTGCCCAGCGCGCGCCACGAGACGTCGGTCGCGGCCATACCCTGGCGCGGACGAGTTTGCGCGTGAAAGGAGAGGGGGAGGGGTCGCGGGCGACAGCCAGAGCGGCCGGGGCGGGCGCAGCCGTAGGGAGAGGCAGGGGGAGAGGGTGCAGCCGTAGGGAGAGGCAGGGGGAGAGGGTGCAGCCGTAGGGAGAGGCAGGGGGAGAGGGTGGGTGCGCCTGCGCGAGACGGTTGCCCAGAATCATCATGTTGAGCGGAACCGCCGCCCTGCCGACGCCATCGACCGCGGCGAAGAGCCATTCGAGGGGAGCGTCGCACTCTGCCTGCGGGGCATCATCCACGGTTGAATGATGTAGCCTCCACAATCCTTAAGAGCTACTCGCCGCGCGCCTCTCCCGGGCACTCTGCAAGCAGCCACGCCCGAGGCGAGTACGCTCCTCCGCCTGCCGTGAGGGCGACGCACATGCCGGCCAGTGCCCCAAGCACGGGCGGTGGCAGCACCCGCTGCAGCGCCGTCGACAGCGTCTGGAGGGGAGAGGGCGCGTCCAAAGGCGGCTGTGCGGCCGAAGCCGCAGCAGCAGCAGCAGCCCAGACGGCCGCCGCGCGCTCGGCGTCCTCTCCGACGTCGCTGCTGCTCCAGCGGCGGGGCCCGATGCTCGTGTGCAGCGACGCGATCGGAGGCTCGGGCTGCGAGAGGAGGTGCACCGAGCGGCGGAGCTCCCCCCCGAGGGAGAGGCTCGCTCGAGAGAGGGACCGCTGCAGCCGGAGCATCGGCCGGGGCGGCGGCGGCGCCCCCTCACCCGGTTGTTCCCCTGCGGCAGCATCCGCGAGGGAGAGCGCTCGCCCCGTGCGCCGAGGCTCATCCACCTCGCCGCCCGGCGCTCCGCCGCGGCGCTGCAGGAGGCAGCCTCCCACGCTCCACTGCAGCACCGGATAGATGAGCAGGTACGTGGCGAGGTAGGTGAGGTTGAGGCCGGTGTCTCGGCCAAACATTGGAGCGACTCCCGCCTGAGAGTTGATGACGCCCAGCAGCGTGATTGGCAGGCCGGTGGAGTTGCCAAAGGCGACCGAGGCAGTGGCGGCCCTCCGAAACTCGGGGCGCGTCCCGCCGACCCGCGCAGCCGCCGAGCCAACGACGAGCCCGACGAAAACGTACAGAAACGGCAGAACAAGCAAGGGCCACTCCAGCAAATCGAGCAGGCGGGGGCACTCCTCGCCAGCCACCACGCCCCTACAGCCAATGGCACTGGCGAACAGGAGGCACGGCATCGTGCACGTCATCGATATCTTGGACAAGCCCTTTGAGACCTGCGCCGTCATCGTGCCCTCCCAGCGCAGGAAGGCGCCGCTGGCCGCCATCGCGCTGGCAGTTCCAACCGAGGCCGCAGCCGCTCGAAGGATGGCGAAAGTCATTTTCGGTGAGCCTGTCGAGGACCCTCGCGCGACAGCACACCACTGCTCCGCACGAGACGCCGTTGCAGGACCAAACCCCCAAACGCGACAGCGGACAAACGCGACAGCGCACACATAGGGAGGGAGGGTGGGGAACCGGGAAACAAGAGCCGTGGGTTGCGGGCGTCTCTCGCAAGGGCAGACAATGAGAGCAGAAGGCAGACACGTCCCGCACATGTCCCCGTTCACAGTTGAACTAATTCTCACGGCGGTACACTGTTTATTAATCGGCCGTCCGCGAGCCCCTAGCTCGCCGACGGCGAGAGAGATGCCACGAGGGGTCGCGGTGGCGTCCATCGCCAGGCTCCCTAGCTCAACCGACGACCCTTCGGGATCGACGGCCGATCGTCATCTTCCCTGAGACGCGGAGACTGAAGAAAAGACTTGAAGCTGCTTTTCGCTGTCCCGCATCCAGCCTGTCGCTGTCCCTTGTCAGGAGCAGGAGAACTAGGAGTGCGCAACCATTAGGAGGCCCGCGCCTGCCCCCGTGCCGCCGGGTGCAACCTGTCCTATACGAGAGGGGAATCCCTGGGACCCTGTCGTGTGGGTGAACCCTGCCCAGCCCCCCTCCATGTCGCGATGCGCTCCCCACTCCCGTTCCCCTGTGTCCCTGATCGTCCTTCCAAAATCCTGCTCGTGCAGGTGGGGACCTTGTCCTCCTCCCATCCCTCGTTTGGTTTCTCTGTTTTCTTCTTTCTTTTTGCCCGCCATCCCTCGTTTGGCTGTCTGTTTTCTTTCTTTCTGTCTGTCTGTTATCTTCCTTCCTCCTCGTCGTCGTCTCTAGCCAGTAACTCACACTCTCTCAGAGGTTGGCTAAAGAGGATGGAACGGGGGGTGCGAATCTGTGGCTCTCCGAAGGGGGGCACTTGGAGCAGGGGCAGCGTAGAGCGTACTTCAGGGAGCTCAGTGTTTTCCACGTTGTCTGGAACCTCAGAGCAGAGGAGCTGCAAGAGACGAATGCGGTTAAACTGGGCGGTAGATGAGGGATGTGTCGCTTGAAACTGATAGGTTGGAGTCGGGAGCGGTGTCAGGGCCGGGCTGGGCGCGATTCGTTCTTTTGGCCAAATTCATCAGCTTTTGGCCAAATTTCGCCCGCCGCTTGTAGATGCTTATGGGGGGGCGTACCAGCTGAATCCATCATCGAGCACTTTGGCGGTTTCGCTATTTCCACCTCCTTTCAGGGCTAGTTCTAGGGTCGATTCCGCGCGTGGTACGGGGCATCCACCTCGACCGTCTCGCCCTCCCTCGTTGGTGTGTTCAAGGGGGTGGGGTGCGGGTGGGGGGGGGGGGGGGGCATAAGAAACACGGTACAGGAATTAGTGCACGCCGCCGAGGCGGTGCCGTCCCCCCTCCCTCTTCTGTCTCCACCACATCTCACTATGTGGGCCGAGAGCCCGAGACGCGGGGAGCGAGTGACGGATAAAGTCTTGTGGTTGCCTATATGTATCTTCGGCGTGTAAATAAATAAATAAAAACGGACACCTCTGTACTGTGAGAAGGGTGTATCTTCGGTGTATCTTCGCCCGGACACGGCGTGACACGCCCCTCGCCGCCGGTTTCAATATATAAATACAAAGATCAAGAAAATAAGCGCCGGCGACGTTATCAGGCGCTAGGACCTGCGGCTTCCTAAGTCAACACTTTTTGATAGGATCCTTTTGGCTTAAATATAACACCCGAGTTCATATGACAAATCTCGTGCTTCAACACACCGAGATACAGTCGAGATATGACCGAGATATTTTCCAGAAGTTATATTTAAGCCAAAATGATCCTCAAATAGTTGACTTAGGAAGCCGCAGTCCCCAGCGTCCGAGAGTGTCACCGGCGCTTATTTTCTTGATCTTCGTGGCCACGGCCACGTGATTACGCGTCACTCGCTCCGGGGGCAGAGGCGAGTGGCGAGAGGGGCGGGTGTGACCGATATTGAGCTAAAAAGAGGAGCT